GTCATATAGCATGTTCAGGAAGTGCTGTTAATGGGTGATGTCTTAATGCTGTTTGATTTTTACTGTACAACTTGGAATCTTTGTCATTTCCAGATCCTGTTTTTTCCTGCTCTGATCATCTCTTTTCACACACACATGCACACACACACACACACACACACACAGAGTAGTCGTCAATATATAGTAATGGTGGAGAGAGTCTTGGATGTAAACTTTCACATGCTGAAGGTCGGTAAGTTAAGATCCAGTCTTCTTTCACAAGGCTGATTGTATGTAGCCTTTCTGAGATTCAGGTTTTAGGTTTTGAAGAGGTAGTTATAAAATGAATTATGTAGGTCTGAAAACCTCATCATATTTCTGCATAATTCTTGAGCAAATACAGAAAAGTACTTAGATGCTTGGTTGGGGGAAGGGGGTTGCTAGGAAAAAAAAAAATGAGTGTCTTGTTTCAGATCAGAGCTAGAAAAGCCTTAATTTTCTTCTGCCAAGTAGTGGCTTGGCAGAGTGCACACTATTTTGCTACCCCAATCCCAGATGTGCAGAGTTGACTTGGTAAGATTTGAGTTCCTAGCAGGTCCAGACTTCACCTTCTTTTCTACCCACACAATCCAACTTCAGGTTGGAGTGAATTGGCTTTTTAAAAAAAGATATTAGATTTTCTGTTATGGAGAATAGCAGTTTTTCTCCGCAAAGTGAGTCGCTGGTTTTTCGCTATGTTGCTACAGATATTTGGCCTTCATTAAGAATTTTTCTTTCGTATTTTTTTTTTTTTGTCATTTTTCATGGTATCAGCTTAACTATGATTTTTATCTTCTGGGTATTTCTGTGTGCAAATATTTCATTCACTCTGAGTTTCCAAGAAGCAAATGACTTTGACTGTTCTAGCTTGGCAGGTTTTCTCTCTATAACCATCATAGGGTTGAAGCTGGAAACGGAACGCAATTTGAAATCTTGTGGTTTGGATGGTAGAATTCAGGCTAAACTGTCTGAAGCTAACTTTATTAATGTTGAGACATATTTTTCCCCAATAAATAAAGCTGAAAAATAATGAAATTTTACTACTGGCAGTACACACACACACACACACACACACACACACACACACACGGCTAACAAGAAGGAAAATATATGAAGAATATGCTAGAAATAGTTACTATAGTTTAATTCAAACTCAAAAAGCCAACAAACCCAGATATTCTTACTGTTACCCGTGTGACATTGTGTTTCCCCAGACTGTATTAAGGAAGTACATGAAAGTGACAGGTCAGAGGAAATGAGACTTTACTTACGGAATAGTAAATTAACACAGTATATTTTCATGGTACTTGACACTTTACTGAATACTTTCAGATATGTTATCTACATTACATTCCACTAAAATCACCAAGCCTTTAGCAGTTTTAACCTCATTAAATCAGAGAATAAATCCAAGACCTGGCAATAGACAAAGGTGGTAGGCAGACAGCCTGTCCCCCGTTTCTCCATCAGTTCATGCTCTAGCATGCATGCATTTATTCAGTTTCAGAATTTATGTGCAACTTCTACTGACTGGAGTCTCTCTTGTCATGATACACAACGAACAGCCTGGTTTGTGTTGGCTTTGGTAATGATAAAAGGCATGTGGAGTTCTAGTGACCAAAACAAATTGTTCATTCTTGATCAATCAAAGGGAGAATGCTATATATTTAAATCAATTAAAAAATAGTTTTGGCTAGGTTTGTCACACACCTTTAATCCCAGTGCTCAGGAGGCAGATGGAGGGGGATTTTTGTGAGTTCAAGGCCAGCCTGGACTACATAGTGAGTTCTAGGCTAGTCAGGACTACAGAGTGAGACCATGTTTTAAAAATAATTTTTTTAAGGGGGGCGTTGAGATGGATGAGAGAGTAAGGTGGTTGCCATGCCAGCCAAAGCCTGAGTTCAGTTCCCAGATCCTATGATGGAAGAAAGAATCTACTGGATAAAGTTGTTCTTTGACCTTCACATGTGGGAATATGCACAGTATGGAAGAGAAGTAGCAGCAGCAGTAGCAGTAACAACAATAATTATCAAGAGTAATAATAATCACAACAATGATGGTAGAGATAATAAAAAGGATTGTAAATTGTAAATATTGAAAACTGTAAATAGTATGGTCTAGGCAAATGGCTAGACTCTGTTGCAAAAATGAAACCCATTAAGAATTTCTTTCTTAGGGGCTGGAGAGATGGCTCAGTGGTTAAGAGCACCAACTGCTCTTCCAGAGGTCCTAAGTTCAATTCCCAGCAACCACATGGTGGCTCAAAACCATCTGTAATGAGATCTGATGCCCTCTTCTGTGTGTCTCAAGACAGCTACAGTGTGCTCATATACATAAAATAAATAAATATATATATATATATATCTTAAAAAGAAAGAATTTCTTCCTTGAGCCAATCTCATTCAGGTAAAGATGTTATCAGGGAAGGTATATCCTCAGAAATAAAGGACTTCCTGAACACAGATGCTGGTTTTTGCTTGTTTTTGTAGCACTGACATAGAACTCAGGACCTAAACCATGCCAGGTAAGCACTCTGCCTCTGGACGGCGTCCACTGCCATCCTTTTCCAGTGCTCATTCTGAGATAAAACGTTGCCTCTGCTGGCCTTGAACTCCACTCTGTAGCTCAGATGGGCCTTGATTCTGCCTGTTCAGTCTTTTAAATAGCTAGGATTATAAGCCTGTACCACTAGCCTGCAAAAACTCGACTAGAAAGTGATGCATATGTCACTTCCTGGGAGTGGTAAAATGTGATTTAGTAGGAGTTTCGATAATATACATAGGGATGAAGTTATAGCTCAGCATTAGAGTGGTTGTCTAGACACACAGACCCCAGAGTTCAACCCCTAGTGCCATAAGCAAAGAATTACTAGATGGTGTATGTATATGGTGTGAATATTCATCAAATGGTAGATAATATTTACATGAGAAATTCAAAAGGAAAATACTGTACATATTAAACTCTATAGAATGGTGTGTATGCAGAATTTTTGGGAGGAAGCATATTTGATGCCTTTGACTTACTTTGAAGTACAAAAGACAGCAACCCAAAATTTATTGGTGAATAGATGGAGAGATGGACAGATTAGTACATCATAAGATAGCATAGTAAGTACAGTAAAATGGTAATTGTTGGGTGCAGGGGTGGTTGTATGGTTATTTCTTGTAAAATAATCTCTTACCTTCTCTATTTTGTTTATTCCTAAGCATCTGACAACAAAGAAGTTGATGTTAGATAGGCAAAGAGTCTTTCAGATGGTATCAGATTGCTTCATTTTATAGAAACTTGAGTCTATTACTATACCATGTGCTGTAACAGAATATTGAAGGTTCGGTACTTTTATATAGTAGGGAGGTTTATTTGGTTCAGAATCTAGTGGCTAGAAGACCCAAACAACATGGCACTAGCCTGTTGGTAAAACCCACCTGGCTGTGTTGCATTATGGCAGAGAAGCAAGAAGGAAAGTACTGCGTGCAGAATGGGCCTTTGGACTAAGAGGGAAAATAATCCCTCCTGTCCTCCTGTCCGACCTAATTATCTTCCATCAGCCTGACCCTGTTAGTTTGAACTACCTCTAACACCACTGAGCTGAGGACAAAGCTCAAAGGGCTTGAGCCTTTGGGAGAGCACTCGGGCTGTACAATATAGGGTCTCTGTAGTAGTCTGTGATGGGATGAGGAGTGCTTATGTGAAGCCACTGAATCACAAAGGCTTCCTGGTTATCTTACAGCAAAGACTGTGAGCCAGTGCTTGAGCTTACAGAGGGGCACAGCTTTGTTTTTGTTTTGATGAAAAGATGTGCAGCTGGATGGGTGGTACATTCCTTGAATCTCAGCTGCAGATAGAGGCAGACAGATTTGAGTTCCAGGACTTCATAGAAAGTTCTGGGCTAGCCAAGGGCTACACAGTGAGACCCTTTTGACCAAGCCTGCTCAGTCAGTCAACCAGTTCTCCAGCGCAGGAGTGAGGATTAAAAGAAAAGAGACAATTAGACAAAATTGCAGCATGACCCCAGCCAGTTCTGAGGCTGAAGGCAGGTTTGTTTAATTCAACTTTTCTTTTAAGCCCTTTTAATTACATGCAAGTATTTAGGTCAGTTCTAGGTTGAGGAACCAACAATACAATAGAAACAAACAGTCAAGGAACAAACAAGGCAATAATATACAGAGTCCTGTGATCACCCTGTGATCACTCTCATGATCACTGTTTCTAAGGGCTCATCTGGATGTCAAAGTATCTGAGCCTACTTCCCGGTCCTAGGTCCTAGCCCACAGTCATATTCAAGCCTGAGGCCTACTTCTTTGTTTTAGCCTAAGACTTGGGTTCCTGACTGAAATTACTTCTCTGTTTTAGCCTAAAAATAGACTCCTGCCTGAACTTACTTCCTTATCATGGCCCAAAGTCAGATTCCCGTCTAAAGCCTATTTCCTTGTCCTTGGCCAATGTCAGATTCCTGCCAAGCAGCCCCAAAGGCTCTCCACACCCTTTCTCAAAAAATATAAATAAAATGAAAAGAAAGACAGGACAGACAAGCTCTGTGCTACTATGCCATATCTACTGACTCTGTCTGAATGACAGGCGACTGTGCTGTATGCTACCCATCATTCAGTTTCTCTCCAGTGATATTTTCACAATGTCATTTGTCAACAGGAGAGCATACAGTGAGTGAGTGACTCTTCAAGCCTTTCTCAATTATAATTCCACATCTGGTAACAAAGCATAGAAGGTAACTGACCGAGCGAACATTTTCTCATTGCTGTCAAGGATATACACCCCAGGTATCCACCAATAAGGGAAAAGTTAACTTGTTATGTGCAGTGGATGTCTCTTAGGGCAGTAGGGCTTTATTCTTTCTTGGAATCAAGGTTATGGGATTGTTTTTTTTTTTTCCAGCAAATTCTAATATATTTTCTTTGGCTAGCTTACAATGTTTATACAAATTTTATATACACATATATAAGATCCACTTTGTTTTTCTTTAGATTACAGGTCCACCAGGTTGTGGGAAAACTCAGTTTTGCATAATGCTGAGTGTCTTAGCTACATTACCCAGCAGCCTGGGAGGACTGGAAGGGGCTGTGGTATACATCGACACAGAGTCTGCGTTTACCGCTGAGAGGTAGGGTGTTTTATTTCTCTATTATAATGCTTTGCTTTTATAGCTCCTATGCACCATGGGACATTTACAAACAGGTTAAAGCTTATTTTAACTTTTAAGAACAAAGGATGCTAGATACTGGTTTTAAAATAAATTTTTCTTTTGAAATCTATCCAGGAAGCGGATACTTTTTCTTCCTCTTCTATACCTTTCTTACTGGCTTAAGCAGGGTTCCTGTATAAGTTGTGTTTTCTAGAAGGGCGTGAAGAGATGAGGTGAAGGAACAGGGAGGGATGTCCAGTAAAAACGGGGACGAGGGAAGACTTGGGAGCAAAAGGGGAGCTGCTTTATACTTTATTTCTAGAAAGAAGTAAAATATTGGTGAATGGATGAATATTCACCAAATAGGAAAAATATGCATTTGGAGATCAATTCTTACCTCTTAGTCAAGATACACGGAGCTATTTTTTTTTTTTTTTTGATTCTTTGAATTACATCATTATGAGCAACCCTCTTCTTTTTTTCTCTCTGAATAGTAGTAGATCAAAAAGGACCTGATGAGGCATGACGTTTAATATGGATCATCAACTTGACAGGATCTAGAATTGCCTAGGAGGCAGGTTTCTGTGTAGCCCTGTGAGAACTCTCTAGGTTAGGTCAGCCTCTGGGCAGGCTTGTGAAGGGTTGTCTTGATTAGGTTAGTTGAAGTGGTAGGATCAGCTGCCCTGCACTCTACCCTAAACTTTTCCCTCTGAGTTGCTTTTGTCAGGGTGTTTGGTCAGGTGCCAGCAACAGGAAAGGTAACTGACCACACATGGGAAAGGTCAAAGTGTAGGTTTCTTTCCCTGTTTGGGCCCTGTACGTTTTCTGAGCCTCTTCTTCCTTCCTTCCTTCCTTCCTTCCTTCCTTCCTTCCTTCCTTCCTTCCTTCCTTCCTTCCTTCTTTCCTTCCAGAGGGAAGGTTTCAGTTTGGAGCTGATGACCAAGTCACACTGCAGTCACAGGAGACAGCCAGCCTCTGCCTGTTTGTGAAGATGCGTGCTTGTGGTTCTCTTCTTTGCATATGGTCTTAACTATATTTTGGATTTACTTATTTCTCTTTTCTGCTTTCATGTAGTGTTAGTATTTACATCAGAGGTGGAGTGCCAAACAGGTATAATTTTTGTCCGCTAACATTTATTTTAGTGTATGTTACATAATTACCCCTATTTTAGAATAGGGGTAAAAACCTGCACTGTTTTTTGTTATTATTTCATTCTTCATATAGCCCGAGAAGGGGCAAGGTTTGCTCTCACACAGAGTGCGGGTTGAGGTCTGGTGAGGGGATCGGAGGAATCGGAGGGTAAGGCGGAGTTGGAGGCATAGTGTCTTTGATGTCGCTACCTTCAGGAGGCTGCTGTGGTGGGCCATGCACGGAGCCTGCTCTTCAGGAGGCTGCTGTGGTGGGCCATGCACGGAGCCTGCTCTTCAGGAGGCTGCTGTGGTGGGCCATGCACGGAGCCTGCTCTTCAGGAGGCTGCTGTGGGGGGCCATGCACGGAGCCTGCTCTTCAGGAGGCTGCTGTGGTGGGTCATGTGTGGAGCCTGCTCTTCAGGCTGCTGTGGTGGGTCATGTGTGGAGCCTGCTCTTTAGGTTCTGGTCACATGTTATTTGTGCTGTTGTCCGTCTACTTGACCCTGTTAGGGTTATCAGAGTTGGATGGTCAGCGAGTTGAGTAAGCTTTCAGCCACAAGGAAACTGAACACTCAAAGAACAGCAGCGTGAACAATGTGTAAAGATCTGTTTCAGCTGTTCAGTGATGAAAGGATCTAAAGCTGGTTTGTTTTTAGGCATCTGTATCCACTCTGTGCATATGTTAGTGGGAAGAAAAAGGGTTAGGCACACCTTTCATCAGGAAATATCCTTTTTAATTTTTGTTATTTATGTATGTATGTATGTATGTATGTATGTATGTATGTATGTATCTATCTATCTATCCATGAGACATGGTCTCTCTACATATCTCCGGATATCCTGCAACTTGCTATGTAGACCAGACTGGCCTTGAATTTACAGAGATTTGCCTGCCTTTGCTTCCTGGGTGGAGTGCTGGCATTAAAGGCAAGCATCACCAAGCAAGGAGGTTTACAGGATATCTACTTCCTTACATCTTCTTACCTGCAGATTTTTCTTTAGCCACAGTAATTCCCCTGCAGATTTCCCACTAGACCACTTCTATGTAGGAGAATGGGAAATCGAGGGGAGAAGGTTCTCTAGCAATCACGATGAGTTGTGAGGACTTGTTTATATTGCTGCTTGAATTAAAGTGAGACTCATAGCAGTGAGGAACTGGAAGTGCATTGGGTTGGTAAGTCAATGTTTAACCAGAGCTGAGGTTGTTTCTGGACTTAAGAAGAGATAGAGGGGGTAGGAGGAATAGGAGACTCCAAGGGAATTTGAAAGAGAGGCTGAGATGCTGAGTGTGCAGGATTATGGACGACCTCTTCTGGGTGATTCAGAAAAATGTCTGTTTTTATTTGTTTGACCTATTAGACATCTACTTAAAACAGTATAGTCTTAGATGCCACAAGTTTACGTACATACTTGGGTAAGCAAAGTAACAGATCTGTATTCTAGCCTATGGGAATTTGACAGCTATGAGAATTCCCATCTATATGAATTAAATAAGCATTATATTATGTTTATTGGAGACAAGCAGGGAAAGATGGAATGGGCAGTCAGCATGTAGCAGAGGTGCAAGGAGATAATGCATTCTTGAGATTTGACAGAGTGGAGAGGAACCTCCAAGTGACTTAACAATAGTTGTATATATGATTTGTGGCTTGTGGAGTTATATTGCTCAAAGGGTGTAATTTATAACCAGGGCCAAAGATTAACTCAGTTTAAACACTAAGTAAAAGGAAAAACTGGTTTGCTTATTTCTCTTATCTTAAAGAATCCATTTTGTAAGTGACATTGTGGGGTGATTGGTTGTCGTTATTCAGGTTTATGGTTGCGGAGTGTTGATGAGGTTAAACCCGAAGGTCACATATGCTTTGCCTTAAGCATGGCTTTAACATTCTTGTTTCAGATATAGCTCAGAAAGAGTATTATCTCTGCAGGCATTCTTTACAGCTATTTTGATTTTGTTATTTCTTTCATTCTCTACCATCTCTACTGTCTGTCTATTTATTTTAGTTCTTGATTCTGTCAAGAGTATGTGCATGCAATTGCATGTATATGTATGTGAGTACCTGTGCTAGATAGTGTGCATGTGTCTGTGTGTGCAATGCATGGGCATGTGTGCAATGCATGTGTGTGTGTGTATGTGTGTGTGTGTGTGCGCGCACGCACATGATCCTGTGGACCCAAGAAAACAGACAACCTTGGGTGCCATTTCTCAGGTGCTGCCTACCCCCTTAAAAAATTAAAAAAAAAATATGTTATGGGTGTTTGCCTATACATGGCCATGCATCACTGATGCCTAAAAGGCTGTGAGCTGCCCCCAGCTCTTAGTCGTTTGCAGTTTTTCAGATCTGCCGTCAGTGCAAAAGTGGCTGAAAGAGTTTGTGGCTACAGTACCCAGTGTACTGGTCTATCCTCTACTGTAGCTACTTATATAGATTTATGAGATGTCAAATAGTTGTTTCTGAGGACCTTAATAATGCCGTCATCTATACAATTTCTGGTATTTTGTTAGTGATTTAATTTTGTCCTGCCTATAGATTTTTTCTTCTCCTTTACATACCTATGAATGAAAATGTATCATTTTATGTGTATGAGTGCTTGCCTGTGCGTGTGTATCTGTGCATCAGTCCATGGTTTCTACAGACGGCTGTGAACTGCTGAGTGGGTACTAGGCTGAAACCGAGTCCTTGGAAGAGCAGTCAGTGCTCTTCAGGGCTAAGCCATTTCTCTAGCCCCTTTCTTATTGGTTGTTAGACTTTGCTATGTTAGATGCCAGACTTTATTGTACATTTCTAAGGTGTTAGATTTTTTTTTTTTTCCGAGACAGGGTTTCTCTTATAGCCCGGGCTGTCCTGGAACTCACTCTGTAGACCAGGCTGGCCTCGAATGATTTTTTGTTTTAATAATATAGTTAATATTGTTTTGATTGTCTTTGAGACCGATTAAGCCTCAGCACTGTGAAATCCCTCTGAGGACTCCACCTGTTGCCCAGGGTAGTTTGAGATCTCTGTATCTCTTGTCGTGGGAACAGGCACTGTTCTCATCTTGTGTGAGTGCTGGATTGTTTAGTCTCCTGTTGTCTCC